AATAGCCCCTTGACCTTGGGAGAGTTTATGACTTACAAATGTTATTTTGTTTCATTGAATAAGCCATAGTGACTTAGTCATTATGTTGTGTGAATCCATAAACCAGGAGTGAACTTTCTGTACTTCCAAGGCGAAATCTCCTTCTTGTGTGACTTTTAGGCTAACATGCAAAACCAGATCACGTAAGACGAAAGGCTTTTTATCGTCATAAACATATTAGGTTTATTTTTGCTTTTTCATTCAGGAACTCAAGGCAGCACATTCTTCCTTCCTATTTTGCCCCAGAACAAAGTTTTTAAGTTTTTAAGAAGAGACTGGACAACCATTTGTCTGAAATAGTATAGGGCAGTGGTGGCGAACCTATGGCATGCGTGCCACAGGTGGCATGCAGAGCCCTCTCTGTGGGCATGCGGACCGTCACCCCAGTCCTAGGCCTTCAGATGGGTTTTATAAAACCTTTTCGCTTTAGGCGTCTGCCATCGTGTGCAAAAAAAAAAAGGTTCAATCAATCAATCAATTTCAACTGGAAAAAAAAAATCTCGCAAAGTTGGAATTGATTGATTGAACTTTTTAGTCCCACCCAGTCTGCAGTTACCACCGAAGCCATGCCCACCCAATGGGCCATGCCCACCCGGCACCCAATGATACATAAGTGGGTTTTGGGTTGCAGTTTGGGTACTCAGTCTCTAAAAGGTTCGCCATCACTGGTATAGGGTTTCCTGCCTGAGCAAGGGGTTGGACTAGAAGACCTCCAAGGTCCCTTCCAACTCTATTATTATTATTATTATTATTATTATTATTAGTAGTAGTAGTAGTAGTAGTAGTAGTAGTAGTAGTAGTAGTAGTAACAACCCTGTGAGGTGGGTTGGGCAGAGAGTGATTGGCCCAAGTTCAGAGTGAGAGCTTCTGTGGCTGAGGGTGGCCCAGGAGCTGGATTTCCCCATTCCAAGTCCAGTTCCTTTATCACTTCACCACCGCCACCCCAATTGGCAGGATCCATATAATACACTTAACCAATTCAAATGTAATCCCAGCAGATGCATTCATATAAGATGGTTATATAAAAAGGTTAATGTTAACCTTTTTAATTCTTTTTGTAGCTTATTGTGTTGGGCAAATCAGCCATTTGGTTCATTTAGGCTTCAGTTTACTCTAAATGAATCAATAAATAAGTTGGGTGAATCCACACATAGAAACTCCTAGGCACTGTCATCAAAATTCAATGAGTAAATCATAATGCAACCGCATACTTTTCAGGGGAGGCTAAATCAAATTGAAGCCATAATGTATCTTATTTTATTCACCTCTCAAACTTTGGGGGGGGGGGGGGCAGAAGGAAATACCATTGCCATCCCTTCTGGAAATGTCACCATTGGTTATTACTGTGACTTCTGTTAATGTTTAAAATTATTTTTAATAAAAGCCAGGCTTTCAAAGATAAAAAAAGATGTGCGCCTCTTTGCAAGCCACAGTCACTGGATTCCGACATTATGCTGAGCCAAAATGAAACAAACCACAATAAGCGGACTGATGAGGCCCCAGATCTATTCTCTTCGTTCTTTGGGAACTGCTGGAAGCATGAAATATTGTGGGTGGGGGAGAAGAGAGAGATTCGAGTTTGTCATTTGATTCCAGAGCTTAAACAGAGAATTCAAGGACAAAGGAGACAGAGCTGAGAGCAGCAATATGAAAGATATTTGAGACCTTTCCTCTTATTTCCAGTTCCATTTCCAAATTAAGCATAAATTCAAAGGCTGGGGAAAAAATACAGCCAAGAACGGGGGGATGCCTTCAAATGAGCAGAGAAATTTTCACTTGGAAATTCAGAAGCAAGTACAGTGCTACCTTGATAATCGTCGTTAANGCTCCTATTTAAATAGGGATCGCATGGGAAATATTTGATCTGAAATGCTGGGCTAAAGAAATTACAGTACATATGTGGACTCTCATGTTCTGAGTCAAAACCAAAGGATCGACTTTGCTAATATAGTTAACTTCATTACTGCATTAATCCATGGATGGTAAGTTGCCTGCCAATGTCACAAGGCATTTTACCAGAATAATAGAGTTGGAAGGGATCTTGGAGCTCTTCTACTCCAACCCTCAACTCAAGCAGGAGACCCTATACCATTTCAGACAAATGGCTGTCCAGTCTCTTCTTAAAAACCTCCAGTAATGGAGCACCCACAACTTCTGAAGGCAAGCCGTTCCGCTGATTAATTGTTCTTGCTGTCAGGAAATTTCTCCTTATTTCTAGGTTGATTCTCTCCTTAATTAGTTTCCATCCATTACTTTTTGTTCTGCCTTCTTCTTTGTGACAGCCCCTTAAATATTGAAACACTGCTTCTTGAACCCAATCTTGAGGTTGGATGCCTTGTGTTGGGCACATCTTTGGGGAAACTGTGTAGCTGTTGCCATAACCACATTCATGGGTGGTTTGCCTAGCTAAGGAAACCCTGTTTATAAAGTAATTCCATTTGGCCTCAAAGCTAAACTGTTAGGTACATGAGGGGTGGGTAGTGTTAGAAATGTTGATGACTGTGATTGAAACCTCACCCCTTTTTAAACTGCATTGTAATGTGCATTAAAAGAGAATATCATCACCCCACTCCCACCACTGCTGCAAACCTTCTGGTGAAAGGAGGAAAAAATGTTCTTCAGATGAGTAGCCCCTTGACCTTGGGAGAGTTTATGACTTACAATTGTTATTTTGTTTCATTGAATAAGCCATAGTGACTTAGTCATTATGTTGTGTGAATCCATAAACCAGGAGTGAACGTTCTGTACTTCCAAGGTGAAATCTCCTTCTTGTGTGACTTTTAGGCTAACATGCAAAACCAGATCACGTAAGACGAAAGCCTTTTTATCGTCATAAACATATTAGGTTTATTTTTGCTTTTTCATTCAGGAACTCAAGGCAGCATATTCTTCCTTCCTATTTTGCCCCAGAACAAAGTTCTTAAGTTTTTAAGAAGAGACTGGACAACCATTTGTCTGAAATAGTATAGGGCCGTGGTGGCGAACCTATGGCATGCGTGCCACAGGTGGCATGCAGAGCCCTCTCTGTGGGCATGCAGACCGTCGCCCCAGTCCTAGGCCTTCAGCTGGGTTTTATAAAACCTTTTTGCTTTAGGCGTCTGCCATCATGTGCAAAAAAAAAAAAAAGGTTCAATCAATCAATCAATTTCAACTGGAAAAAAAAATCTCGCAGTTGGAATTGATTGATTGAACTTTTTAGTCCCACCCAGTCTGCAGTTACCACCAAAGCCATGCCCACCCAATGGGCCATGCCCACCCGGCACCCGACGATACATAAGTGGGTTTTGGGTTGCAGTTTGGGCACCCAGTCTCTAAAAGGTTCGCCATCACTGGTATAGGGTTTCCTGCCTGAGCAAGGGGTTGGACTAGAAGACCTCCAAGGTCCCTTCCAACTCTATTATTATTATTATTATTATTATTATTATTATTATTATTATTATTATTATTATTATTATTAGTAGTAGTAGTAGTAGTAGTAGTAGTAGTAGTAGTAGTAGTAGTAGTAGTAACAACCCTGTGAGGTGGGTTGGGCAGAGAGTGATTGGCCCAAGTTCAGAGTGTGAGCTTCTGTGGCTGAGGGTGGCCCAGGAGCTGGATTTCCCCATTCCAAGTCCAGTTCCTTTATCACTTCACCACCGCCACCCCAATTGGCAGGATCCATATAATACACTTAACCAATTCAAATGTAATCCCAGCAGATGCATTCATATAAGATGGTTATATAAAAAGGTTAATGTTAACCTTTTTAATTCTTTTTGTAGCTTATTGTGTTGGGCAAATCAGCCATTTGGTTCATTTAGGCTTCAGTTTACTCTAAATGAATCAGTAAATAGGTTGGGTGAAACTACACATAGAAACTCATAGGCACTGTCATCAAAATTCAATGAGTAAATCATAATGCAACTGCATACTTTTCAGGGGAGGCTAAATCAAATTGAAGCCATAATGTATCTTATTTTATTCACCTCTCAAACTTTGGGGGGGGGGGGGGCAGAAGGAAATACCATTGCCACCCCTTCTGGAAATGTCACCATTGGTTATTACTGTGACTTCTGTTAATGTTTAAAATTATTTTTAATAAAAGCCAGGCTTTCAAAGATAAAAAAGATGTGCACCTCTTTGCAAGCCACAGTCACTGGATTCCGACATTATGCTAAGCCAAAATGAAATAAACCACATTAAGTGGACTGATGAGGCCCCAGATCTATTATCTTGGTTCTTTGGGAACTGCTGGAAGCAGGAAATATTGTGGGTGGGGGAGAAGAGAGAGATTCGAGTTTGTCATTTGATTCCAGAGCTTAAACAGAGAATTCAAGGACAAAGAAGACAGAGCTGAGAGCAGCAATATGAAAGATATTTGAGACCTTTCCTCTTATTTCCAGTTCCATTTCCAAATTAAGCATAAATTCAAAGGCTGGGGAAAAAATACAGCCAAGAACGGGGGGATGCCTTCAAATGAGCAGAGAAATTTTCACTTGGAAATTCAGAAGCAAGTACAGTGCTACCTTGATAATCGTCGTTAATTGGTTCTGGGAGGCACAATGAGTATCAAAAACCATGAGTACCAAACAGTTTGGCTATAAGGAATAATGTAAATAAATTTAATGCATTCCCAAACCAGAGACAATGCACATTTTTAAGGCAAGGTGTAAAAAAAAATAGGGTTGTATATCATTACTTTACATGAGAAATAAAGCTAAAAATTAATAAATACCTAGGTTAAATAAAATAAAAAGCTTCACTTTACATGTACTGATGAAGAAAAAAAAGCACAAAAATACACAAAATGACCACAGAAGCTAAGATAAGACTCTAAGGAATGTGCACATGGCAAGAGCTACCTCATGACTAACACATCCCTCATTGCTGGAAAGGGTAGCGAGTCACAAGGCAGCCGACACCGACAAATCCTAGCTTGCTTCTCAACCAAGATGTCAAAATGCTATTTGGTCACTATGATAACTGTCCTTATCTTGAGGTTGTGCTATTGTTCAAGGAATGTCTAGTGAGAGCAGTACTGCTAACTCCTACACAAAAATCAGCATCCTTGGGGATTGTTCCCCAAATGTGTCAAGTTTGATTCAGCCTTCCATCCTTCTGAGGTCGATAAAATGAGGACCCAGATTGTTGGGGGCAATAGGCTGGCTCTGTAAACCGTTTAGAGAGGGCTGTAAAGCACTATGAAGTAGTATATAAGTCTAAGTGCTATTGCTATAATTCAGTAGGAATCCAAGCTACTTAACCAGGGTTGGGATTTTCCACATTCTCTTCCATTTTAATCAAGAACAGCAGTTTTGGAGAAATGACTGACAATCCCTCAGATACTGTGGTACTAATAATCTGCAGAAAACTACATGGCTTCTAGAAAATTTGGCAAAGTGGATTTCCCAGAACTCATATGGTTTTACACCTTAGTAATAGATTCATCCATATGTACATATGCATGTATATGTATTTTGTGTCATGGGTACTGTATTTGTGTATTGCCAAAAGCTAGATCATAAATCTCTGAGAACTTCAATGATCTTATGAGAGAATATTGAAATATTTTGAGGTTTTGGTTGAAATATAATATATCACACAAGTTCACTGAACTTTTTCAAGTTTTAGTAGTCCTACAAGATTCCAGCTGGTTTCAGACATTTCACTTCTCATTGAGGAAGCTTCTTCAATCTGAACTGAAGAAGCTTTTTAGATGAGAAGTGAAAGGTCTTCAAGGAAAAATGAAGAAAGCCCAGTTGCCTTTTGAAAAAGCACCTTGGGACTCCAGCTGGTTTACAAAAAATAATGGAGGGGGTGTCTAAAGACCACAATACGTCCCAGGTTATCACAGTAAAGCAAAACAAGACAATAGTATGGTCATAGACCAGCATATATTCCCTAGGTAGTTTGGTGCCCGTGAACCGCTTTGCCACTTTCTGGTCCAAAGATTACTGGGAGTTTTATGAATGGGTGCAGTGGTTCAACTGATGGAGAAGATGGTCTCTTTTGCATTTTTGGAAGAGATTCTGGTTGTAACCTTAATTTTACCTCAGTATACAGAGGATCTTAGATTAGATTAGATTAGATTAGATTAGATTAGATTAGATTAGATTAGATTAGATTAGATTAGATTACCTTTATTATCATTTTTTCCTGTGGGCACAATGGCACACATTAAAAATGAAATTTAGTTGCTTCTTCTCAAAGTGTACATATACATAATGTACATTTAAAACATACTATATACAACATATGTATAGACCTATACCCTTACATATGTAACATAAATATTAATCACTGTCCATCTTGAATACATAACGGAAGGAGGAAGCTTTAGAATTCACAAGGTTAATACTGTATGGAACAAAGCTGTGACTGAATCTGGATGTTCTGCTTTGGATACCACGGAGCCCCCTCCTCCCAGAAGATAACAAGAAAAACAGGTCGTGAAGAGGATGTGTAGTGTCCCAGACAATCTTGCGGACCCTGCTCAAGCAACACTTATGTGCTATATTGTGGATGGAAGGGAGGGCACTGCCAATGATCTCTTCAGCCATCCTCACCAAACTCTGCACTGCCTTCCTGTCTGAAGCAGTGATGCTTCTAAACCAGACTGTGATGCTGTATGACAGGATGCTCTTGATCGTCCCTCTGTAGAAAGTGGTAAGGATAGGGGAAGGAAGATGTGCTTTTCTCATGCGATGCAGAAAATGCAGGTGCTGCTGTGCCCGCTTCACCAGTGTCTCACTGTTGAGCGACCAAGCCAGCCTACTTGTTAACTGCACACCCAGGAATTTGATGCTGGTAACCATCTCCACAGGTGAATCATTAATGCACAGAGAAGTGTGGCAGAAATGGAATTGCCCACAACTGCTTTGGTCTTATTGGGATTTTTACAGTGCATCACATCATATGAAAAGAAAAAAATAGAGATTTTGCAACTGGCCAGATCTAAATAGGAAGTGAATCTTCTGTGTCATTTCTCTTCTCTTCAGGAGAAATCCCCAGCAGCTATGCCTGTCTGGGCCCTGCCATATAAAATACTCAGCAAAAGGATGGAAATAGAAGTTACTTCTGAATACTCCCAGTCTTTATATATATATTTTCTAGAAATTGAGGTTCCTTTAGTCCACAAGAACTTACATTGGGTTGATCTCCATTAACTTCTCCAAATCCCATATTAAGACATCTAGAGTCCCTCCCTGTGATTTGTGGCCATGAATTAGTTATAGTAATGAGTGAAGAAATATTTTCTATTGTCAGTCTCAAATCTGCCGTCATATCCTCTGCTTCATGGGGGCACTGAGAGGTCACTTTCAGAAAAGGATTCAGAGAAGAATAAAGTTCCTTCTTTCTTTATTGGCATGGATACCTTCACTGAGCTGAAAGGAAAAGTCAACTAAGAAAATATCTCCATCCTAGATAAATACCTTCATTGTCACTCTATGTGTAGAGTTACCATACTTCTTAATTTGATCAGGATTGTATCAGTATGCAGTCCTCAGGGTGTCCCAGCTGGATTATTAAAAAGTCCAAGAAAACAGAACTATAGCAATCCACAAAAGGAAAGATTGGGCTTAATCATCTCACAATGGCTAAATTCACATTGCCCCTTGCCTAGGGAAGTGTGGTCAAATGGTTTAAGCATTTAAATTTGGTCCCCCTTAGCCCGCAGAGCATATTATGATATGACATAAAATATTGCATTTCGGACTACATTTACACAGTAAATGTCATTTACTGGGTCATTTCAAGACCAGCTTGTTGGTTGAACCCCAAAATTATTAACTCAAGATCTGGGGGACCATTCTTGTTCCAAGGTATTCTGGAAAAATCCTTAGCCAAAGCAGCTTCCCCTAGTCAGAATATATTGCGTGAATCCAGAAATAGATATCTGGGTTCACACAATATATCACACACAATATGTCACACATTTCTGGGGTCACACTTCTAGACTAGTCTTCCTGCACTGCCCACTGGTCTTCCAAGGAAGCACAGTATTATAGAAATAGATAGTGGTGGGGGAAAAAAGATATTCCAGTTTTTAAAAAATCTTACTGCTAAAGCTTGGCAGCCGTAGAACAACCCTCCTAAGTAATAATTGGCTAAATAATCCAAATTGCACTCATTGGTCCCTATATAAGCAATAGAGAAATGGCCACTGAAGTAAGACAACACAAGGACTTCAGATGCTGGGTTGCACAGGAACAAGGCAGTGCCAGAGGAACTAAACAAGGTTTCTCTTTCTTCCAAATCGGTGGCTCTTATCCTAACAAGCATATGCTGCCAAATCCAAGAATAATTTGGTCTGACTAAATTGGTAGCACTCTAAAAAGTAAGCATGCTGGGCAAACACAACCCATCTGAACCTGTGGGATTATGCCTCCTTCGAGCTCCAGTTTTGGAAGCTCTGCATACAGTAGGTCTCCATTAAAAGCCCTGAGGCTGAAGACCTATTTTTTTATTGTCCCTGCAGGTGCTGCGAATGTGGGGCTTTGCTTTCCCATCAGTACTACGAGAAGGATGGTCGTCTTTACTGCAAAAAGGATTACTGGGCCCACTTTGGGGAACTGTGCCATGGCTGTTCGGAGCAGATCACCAAAGGGCTTGTCATGGTAAGAGAGGACATCCACAGAGAGCATTACTGGATGACGTAACTTGGTTTACCTACATAAGTTTTTTGGGGGGCAGGGGGCAACAGTGCAAGTGATCACAATCCAAAAAACAAGTGGGACAGAAAAAAGAAGTAACTAGGGCCATGGCACAAACTCAGCATGATATTATTTAATTTAAATGGAAAATGTAACACTGATTTCATGAAATACAATTCCAGTGATTATTGTTTCCTGTATTTAATAATGTTGTCCTTTCGTCAGACAATTCAGGGGTCAACTTTAAAGGGACATGGATTGTATGCTGTGATGAAGTGATTGTGCATCTCTGATTTCTAGGGCTGTCCGGCATATTTTTCCTCTGGCTGTGGCCACTGATGTGGAAATAGTGGGCAAGAAATGCTCCTTTAGAACTGGATTCAGAACTGCATGTAACCAAATCATGAACTTTTTGGGGGGAGGCTGGATGCTGCTACTTCAGAAATACTATGGCCATTGCAAAAGGGATAGGGACAGGTCCCCCTTCAATCTAAAGGTCCTTCTACTGGTTTTCAGCTCTTCTTTTGGGAAATGGGAAAAAAAGAGTGAAGAGGACATAACGGAGGAGGAGGAGGAGGAGGAGGAGGAGGAGGAGGAGGACATGTGGAGCAACCAGTGTTTGCAGAGGGAGGGTGTCAACCTTAGCTTGAGTCAAGAGTCTGTCAAGAGTAAGACAAAAAATTGTATGGGAGGCTACTGCCTGAGCATATATCTCCTTAAATCCTTTTATTTGGTATTTAGTTACTTAAATGCAGCAGTGGAAAAAAGAAACATGAATTGGAAGGAAAGTAGACTATCCTTGGCACCAACATCATAACCAACAAAGTCATGTAGGTTGAAGATGATGGTGAACAGGATATGCCCTCCCCCCCCTTCAGAGCCTATAGCATCTTTACAGGTGAGAATCTGGGAAAATGGCACAGACGAGAGCATTAAGCCCTGTTCCCAACAGCAGGTTCCAGCACCAGCTAGCATCGCTGCTTTTAATCAAGCTTTGTTCTCATTGTTTTTAATAAGATCAAGGCAGTCTTTCCACATATTTTCACTAGAGTGTCCTGGTTGTCTTTCATTTCTTATTGTGCATTTGTTAGTTAACTCAGTTCTTACTACAAAACGGTATTGCTAATTACACTCAAGTTTGTTTGCCAAAGTATCTCTCCTTCTCACAAAGCATTACCTTCATGGACAGGTTAGCATGTCCAAAGGAAACAACAGTTGCTTTGGAAAATATTCATTTTTATAAGAGTAATATAGGAAAGGAAGCACCAGAGTCCAAATCCAGCTATTATAAATGCAAAGTCCACTTACTCTTTTTCTGGGAAGAGCTAGTTTGTGTGGTGGTTAAGATGCTGGCCTAGAAACCAGGGGATGATGAGTTCTAGTCCTGCCTTAGGCAGGAAAAATTGGCTAAGTGACTTTGGGCCAATCACTTTCTCAAGCCCAACTCACTTTATAGGATTATTGTTGTGAAGAAAATAGGAAGAGAACGGAATAGTAGGTATCTTCACTGCCTTGAGTTATTTATAATGTAATAAAAAATCTAATAAATAAATATGTACTCCAGTGACCTAATTTTTCAGCAAAATGCACAAATATACACATAGCTTTTTTTTTCTAAGTTAAAGCACCATTCTAGTTCATACTGGTAATACAGAAAAAGCAGAAAATTGAGATCTTAACTGAATAGCTTAAATTGGATCTTGCTAGCACACATAAGCATCATAACAACTGACTATGGTGATCATAAATAGCATAATCAAGCAGTGGTCATAATCATGTGATTTTTGCATGGTCAGAAATGCTAAAAATACATACATACATATATATATACATATACATATTTTTAAAAGGCATCTAATTAAAAATGGCCATAATACAAATAATAATAGTAGTGGTAGTTATTAGGATAACATTTTAAAATAATAAATTAAAATGGCTGAAATCCCAGCAGAAGGTCAAATTGGCAAGAGGTGAGAATTTGGCCATTTTTAATTAGATGCCTTTTTAAAGCTATGTATATATATTTATTTTTAGCATTTCTGACCATGCAAAAATCACATGATTGTGGCCAATGCTTGACATAATTGTTGATTCATGTTTCAAAGGAATCCCCAAAAGGGAAGTAACTACTTGACAAGAAAACAAACAAAACCCTTTAAATTGGTGCCAGAGATTTTTTGTTCAATGTGAGCATGCACTCTGTCCTTCAGAGGTCTGCTGTAAGGTTATGAGAATATAACAGAAATTTAAGAAATTTAGTTAGAACCTAAAGAATACAATAAAGAATCAAACTTTTCTGTGGTAAAGGAAACACTTATCTTTAAATTTTTAAAGAGATCGTCATGAGACTTCTGGGAAACACCAATCTAAAAGGGAAATTGCACTGTTGGTCAATCCCAGAATGAGCATATTATGTGAGTGTCCTACAGTCAGAGGTGTCTGCAGAAATGAGGAAGAGATTGAATGTTTCTGAGTAAGACAGAAAACAACAGCTGTGGAATGAACTAATGGAAAATATGGAGAAACTGACAGAAAAGGCAGAGAAGGAAATCAACAAATTGACATTAATTGTGAACCCAACGGTGGCATTTAGCATTTGGAGCACATGGATATAGATTTAAACATGGGAGAATGAATTACGGCATGGTAGTAATTTTGTCTGTGGGTAATGAGGAAATGAGAGGTAAATCCTGAGGAAATTCAATATGGAAAGTACAATAGTAATTTTAAATACAGTATGGATCTTATTCCATCTTACTCTTATCTGGAGATACCTAAAGAGCCTACTTAGTTTTCACCAGGCACAGCTGTCTGGGTTGCCAAAAACTGAAAAGGTTAAAAAGGTTGGAGAGGAAGGAGGCAATAAGTCCAATGCAGTTTAAGAGCTTGGTCTTATGGATGTCTTGAGACTTCTATAAAGAAAAATTAGAGAAGAAAAGGGCAGTCTGGAGTCCAAGATAGCGGAGCTGTTGCTCCATCATGAAGTGCAAAACTATTACCCAAGAAAGCTTGGAGATGCAGTTGCAAGCAGCATGTGGTGACTTGCCCAGGAGTGAAACAGCTGCTGATAGCATGAGGCAGTAAATGGACAATTTTGAAAGTGCAAGGGACTCTGGCAGAGAAGGTGACTTCAGGTAGAATTCTAATCAAACAAAAGCTCTGAGCGTTGAGAAAGGAACCTGGAGTATGGATAATCTTGACTTAGAACTGGTACATCAGGAGTGATGGCTGACACCATCATCACATAATCCCATTAATTTGGCTTATTGATTGCTTATGTGCCATCAAGTTGGTGTCGACTCTTAACGACCACATAGATTTTCTCCATAACAATCTGTCCCTAATGTAGTCCTTCAGATTTTCCAATGGTGCACCGTCAGTGCCATAACTGAGTCTAGCCATCTTGCGGCTGGTTGCCCTCTTCTTCTCTTTCCTTCCACCTTTCCCAGCATCAGAGCTTTTACCAGAGCCCAAATGGTGCTGTGAAGTCTGCATTGGCTTCCAAGAACAATTCAAACTGCTGATTGTAAGCTAAAACATCTTCATGGTTTGGCACCAGAGAATCTGAAGGACCACATACACCAAACAGAACTGACTCCTCTGATTCATTCAGCCTAAAGAGGGTTGTTAAAAGTCTCACTCCCAAAAAGAAGCAAGATGGAAGAAAGGAGGAAGAACTCATTGCTGCTTAGCATATGCTTCGCAACACTTTTCTTCCTGAGGTTTGTTTGGTATTTTCCCTGACCATTTTCCAGAAGACTGAACACTTTAAAAAGTTTGAAGAAGAAGGAGGAGAATGCTGGAGTTTGGTGGCACAAGGCAGATTTTATTTGATTTTTTTGTATTTTTATTCTATAAACCACCAGGAGTCTCTAAAGGTCTATGTTGTATTAAAATAGTTAATAAATAAATCCATGTGCTGTGTGAACTCAAAATGGATTAATCAGTAACCCAGTTGAATCTGTTCATAAAATCCTAGGGCTGGAAGGGACCTTAGAGGTCTTCTAGTCCAACCCACTGACCAAGTTTGGACAAGTTCTTTAGTTTGTGCCAACCAAATGTTTCACTAACTAATGGATTACCCAAATATCATTTGATTCAGGGATGATTGTCAATCTGCCTCTTCTCTCCAGTCTCTTCTGCTCTTACATGGCCCTGGAGTCCGACCTGCGTGTCTTTCTTTGAGATGTGATCCTTTCATCATCCTCTCAATGATTTCCAGAAATCTCTTTCCCTGGCGGTGTAAAGTGCCTGGATCTGAATTTCATTGCCTGAGCCTGCTTATGTTGAATTTCGGGACTGAATAATCTTAGGCCTCTTTCCACTTTTCCTTTGAACAGGAGCTCTCTGACACTGCTGGGTAGTAGGAAGGACCACCTGAAAAATGGTGATTGAGAAGTGTGTACCGGGAGAGAGACAAGAGCTCATGTCTATTTCTTCCTGTTCCAGGTGGCTGGGGAACAAAAATATCACCCTGAATGCTTCAGCTGCCTGAACTGCCAGGTGTTCATTGGCGATGGAGATACTTACGCACTGGTGGAGCGATCCAAGCTTTACTGGTGAGTGAGAATTTGGCTGAACCAGGTCATTGGGATCTTCCCTAATTTTAAATTCACAACAAAGGCCCTTAAATTAGATTGGACAAACATGGAGAGAAAGAGGGAGAGGGAGAGAGAGACACACACACGCACGCACGCACACACACACACACACACACACACAGAGAGAGAGAGAAAGAGAGAGAGAGAGAGAGAGAGAGAGAGAGAGAGACAGAGAGAGAGAGAGAGGTGTCTCAGTTTGCTCACTTTGAAAGTTCTAATAACAATAATTATAAAGAAACTAAACTCAGAAAGAAGGGATAGTAAAGAAAAAAGAATAAAAAGTATACAGAAAAAGAGAAAAGAAAGAAAAAGAGAAAAATGATTATTCTTATTCATTTTTTTTCTTTCTTTTCTTTCTTTTTTTTGGGGGGGAGGGTTACCTCCTTCAGAGGAGACATATTGGTGCTCTCAGCAAGTTTTTAAAACATTCTTCAGTCAGTTTCCGGTGGTAGCCTTGGGTTTAGAAATGGATGTCCTAGCTTGTGGTACCTTTTCTTCCCTGCTGCAGTGGGCACTGTTATTACCAGATGGTGGTGACACCTGTGATGGATCAGCTGCTTCCAGAATCTCCTGGCACCCGGATTCCACACACTGTCACCCTGGTGTCTATTCCAGCATGTTCCGAAAGCAAGCGGGGGTTTTCCGTCTCCATTGACAAGCATGGAGGTTCTGAGCACCCACATACTGTGCGCGTTCGTGAGTGAGTATAGACTGCCAGCCGTTAGGAAATGTTGTTCCTTCAGAAATTGTAGCCTTCCATATCAGGCTTCTGGAATGTTCTCAATGATAGAGAATATTTACAACAGTTTGGCATTGCAAATGTAGATCTTTAATATTTTGACATCTGAAATTTGACAGGCATTTCTTTTTTACATCTACCTATTCTGAGTCTTATTATCATATTTTTAGTTGAGAGGCTTTAAATAAGAATTGTCCTAAACTATCAGATGTCAAATATCGGTTACCATTGTATGTTACCAATCATTCTATAATACAAGTCATATGTTTGCAAGGTGTCTATCCAATACCATGAAAAGTGTGTTACATGGAAATAATTGTGAAATAAGGAATCACTGAATTATTTGTCAAATGCAATTTTCTACTACTCTTAATATTGGATAATTGTATGTTTTCAGGGAATATGTGGTGATATTTGATGTAATCAAACTATCTGCAGAATATCATGAGAATATGAGTGTGAAATTCAGAAAAGAAGGGCAACTGACACAGTAAAAAACTTTTTATTCTGGAGATGGAACTGTTTAATAAGTTCTGTTCATTTCACAAATTCTTTTCCATATGTGTTGACTGCAATGCCTCTAGAAGTCTCAAATTGAATGGCTTAGGAGTTGCAGACCAACACATCTGGAAGACATCTGGTGAAGAATGTGGGTCTATACCATGTTGATTGATTGTAAGACGAGGGTGATGGAATCCAAGTGCTTTGATCCCTCTCCTCTAGTTTTCAGAGAAAGCTCTAGCATGCTATCGCTTTCCTGAGGTTTAGTTTGGGAGATTTATGCCAGGACAGAGTAACTTAAGACTACTTTGCTGCCCCCTTCTGTATCCTTAGATTAGACCCAGACTGCATAAGCCCTGATATGAAGAATTCCATCCATGTTGGTGACCGCATTCTGGAAATTAATGGCACACCAATCCGTCATGTCCCACTGGATGAGGTGATATTTTTTGTCAGTAGTTAATCAATCATCTTCTTCTCGTTTTTTGTTTCTACAATGTGGCCTTGTGCCTGTCAGGATGTATTGCCTCTCTTCTCAGCCTGCCTTCTCTATCTCTACAGATCGATCTTCTGATCCAAGAGACCAGTCGCCTGCTGCAGCTGACCATTGAACACGACCCTCATGATATAATCGAAAGCAGCCCTCTTTCAGAGCTGCGCAGTCCCCTCCATTCGCCCAGCCACACACCTTGCCCAGACCCTTCAGCCATTCGCCAACGCTCTGTCATGTAAGAATTGAGTAGAAGATGGCTCTCTGAAGTTGATTCCCCTCTCCTCCAGAGAAGAGTTTTTGCTCTCAGACTATAGAAATACAACTAGAAAATAGCTGGTGGGCTCTTCCCTAGTCTAGTGCCCTGAAGATTGTGTTGGGAAGGGGCTTAGAGTTCACAAAGTTCCCAGCCAGGTTGGCAATTGGCAGCCTACAAGGTATCAGGTTGAGGAAGGCCACCCTGCAGTTGTAAATGTAGAGGCAGGTAGAAAAGGAGCCACTATAAACAGAATCTCTGGCAAACCCGAAGATGGTGCCTTCTTGGCCAACTTCCATTTCTATTTTTCCAGTCTCGTGCTGGTTTTATTTACACATTGCCCTTTATATACTTACTGAATTAACTTAATGATGCAGGATCCAATCTGGGTCGATCACTGGGACCAGAGGTTTAGTCTTCTGAGCTTTCAGACTCATGCTGGAGCCCATCCTTGGGGAACTTTTCTCTCTCTCCAGAATGTGAGACACACATTCTCTCACACACATTCTGGTGAGAGAGAAGTTCCTTGACAATGGGCTCCAGCATGAGTCTGAAAGCTTGGAAGATTAAACCTCTGGTCCCAGTGATCGACCCAGATTGGATCCTGCAGTTTATTATGGTTTGGACCATGCAGCAAACTGGTTTCTTTACATAAGGTAAATCTGATTCCATGCTGGTAGAAATGAGGGAACCTGTGAGCCCAAGATGTGTGTGCCTTGTCAAGACCTCTTGAGTAACAGAACATCAGGAATAAGGTTCCTGAACAACAACAGCAGAACATCGGGTTGCCCATCCTTAACAGAGACACAGATTCTACTCCTATGAAAACAGCCATTTTGTAATCTTTTACTAATCCAAAAAAGATGAGGGTACGTTGCAAGCTGTGTTATCCTAATTAAACTGAAATTAAGGGCAAACAGGAAGTTGTTTAAGAAGAAAGTCTTCCAGTTTCCTCCTGAACCTAGAGAAATTAACAGAATAACAGAGCTGGACAGGGCCTTGGAGATCTTCTAGTCTAACCCCCTGCTCAGGCAAAAAGCTCTGTACCATTTCAGACAAATGGTTGTCCAATCACTTCTTTAAAACTTCCAGTGTTGGAGCATTCACAAGTTCTGGAGGCAAGTTGTTCCACTGATTAATTATTCTATCAAGAAATTTCTCCTTAAGTCTAGGTTGTTTCTCTCCTTGATTAGCTTCCATCCATTGCTTCTTGTCCTGCCTTCAGGTGCTTTGGAGGATAGCTTGACCCCCTCTTCTTTGTGGCAACCCCTGATATATTGGGACACTGCTATATTGTTCTTTTGTGAAAAGAGCATGCCTGATGTGTACCTGAGAAGAGCATTTCTCTTCTTCCAAACAGGAGGAGCTGTAGCATTGATAAATCACCTTGTTCCAGCTCTCTGGGCTCCCCCTCCTCCCAGAGGAAAGATATTGGTCGCTCAGAATCACTACGCGTTGTCTCCCGTCTTCATCGCATCTTCCGCCCCTCGGATCTCATTCATGGCGAGGTGTTGGGCAAGGGCTGCTTCGGGCAGGCCATTAAGGTATAAGCGTGGTGTCAGAACAGCATTTTGTTGGGGATGTAATAAGGCTACATTTTGCACAAGGCCCTTTACTTACAAAGTTTTGGGAAAAAGTAGTAGACTTTATACTGTAAATATGATTGTGTAACAAAAGATAAAATGTTCAGACAATTATATTCTTTTGAATTACAGTGCATGCCAAGTACTTGGAATATGGCAAGTGGACAATGTAAATGGATTCTCTGTGTCCTTACTATGGCCAAAAGACTGATATTTGGGCACTGGAAAGAGAAACATATAGCTCCATTTATTCAATGGATTGAGGACTGATTGCACTTGCCACCTATGAGCAGATTGCCTACAGATGGACAAATATAATGAAATATGAAACTCATTTACACTAAATACAACAGGTTTAAACATATAGTTATATATACACATTAGAAATTTATATATTTTTGAATAATAATTGCATTGTTGTTCATTAAGTCATATCCAACTCTTCATGACCCAATGGACCACAGCACTCCAGGCTCCCCTGATCTCCACTGTCTCCCGGAGTTTGCCCAAATTCATGTTCATTGCGTCGGTGACACTATCTAACCATCTCATCCTCTGCTGACCCCTTCTCCTTTGGCCTTCAGTCTTACCAAGTATCAGGATCTTTTCCAATGAGTATTTGGGCTTTAGCTTCAGCCTGTGTCCTCCCAAAGAGCAGTCGGGGTTGATTTCCTTAATAATTGCATTAGATAACTATATATGGGTAGTCCTCGATTTATGTGAGATGCTGCAACAGTTGTAAGTGTATAGCCCTAAATGCCATCTGCTTTCTTTATCAGGTGACACACCGGGAGACTGGAGAAGTGATGGTCATGAAGGAACTTATCCGTTTTGATGAGGAGACTCAAAGGACGTTTCTTAAAGAGGTTAGTTACTCCAGCTTACTCCAGTGTCTATAGAACGTTCCTTTCTGTTGATTTTCTACTAGTATCATTTACATTTTTGTTGTTTACTCCCCACATGAAATGTTGCTTAATTTAAATCTGTGTATCTCTTCTTTAATCTGTATGGTAATCCCTAGTGTTTTGAGACAGTAAGCAAGGATTTCTGAGTTCTCTAAGTCTCATTTAGAGCATATGCTGTTCTAGGACAAGCTTTTCCTTCATAATATTTGTCACAATCTTTCATTCTGTGAAGTCCCCGAAGTTTACGTAGTTGCTACAGGGCTTACAGACAAATAGGTAGTAGCCCAATATGCTATAAAATTGCCAAGCTTTTCCTGATGTTGTATGCCCTGTGGTTTCCTGTCAACACCAAGAGATTTTGAGAAATGCAGGATTAACTGTCTTGTGATTTTGTTCCTTAGGTGAAGGTAATGCGCTGTCTGGAACATCCCAATGTGCTGAGGTTCATTGGAGTCCTCTACAAAGACAAGAGGCTGAACTTCATCACAGAGTACATCAAGGGAGGCACACTTCGTGGGCTCATTAAAAGCATGGTGAGGGCATAGAACCTAATGTGAGAATATTGAGCATCTGAGCAGGAGGAGGGAGAGCAGAAGAGACAGTCTGGCTGGGTTCACACAGCACAGGAAGCCAGGGTTAATAAAACACAATAGATGTTGTGGCCAAGCAACTGTATTGTGACTTAACATCATGGCGTAATTGACACTACATGTTAAAACACTCCTGCTGGAGCACAAACTGAATTCTAGAGAGTATCAAGTTGCCCACCAAACCCAAAGAGAAATGCATTCCTATTCAGGATCAAAGATTGAATAACTCCACAATCAGGAGATCCAATTATCCACACCACTCATTTGCTTTTATCAGGTTTAAGCCAAAGCCTGTTCCTTCTCCACTGTCAAGACCAACTGGACCCATCCATATAAAAAGGAAGATAACTACTTTTCCACCGAGGGATCAGGTACAATAGGGATGGTCATAATCAAGTGTGACCAATATTCTCACCAATATTCTCACAATATTCCCCAGGTCTCAATTGAACTGAATGTTCTTAATTAACAGCAAAGATCTCACAATTGCATGTGAACAATCTACTAAGCTTAGTTAATAATACTAAGGTTAGGTTTTTGATTTAGAGTATTGTAGACACGATTAATTCAGTAACCAGCTACAGTATGTTTTGTGATTTTAGTCGTGAAAAGGAGGCAAAGTCTCTTTCCTGCTGCTCTCTCCATATCCTGATAGAAGTGAGATGCTCCAGGTCTTTTGCCCAGATGGGTTTCACCCCAACTTTTCCAGATACTTCACTCACCAACAACATTTTTCTTCCAGGATAGTCAGTATCCTTGGAGCCAGCGGGTCAGTTTTGCAAAAGATATCGCTTCAGGGATGGTGAGTGTGAGCATGAATTTGCAGCAGACTAAGCTAACATTTCTGTGGGGCATTAGGAAAAGATCTTGCAGGAATCATATTAAAATTTCCCTTCTGTCTTATTCACTACCCTTTAAAAGTATGTGTTCAATTCATGAAGGTTGTTCACCAAATGAAGCCTCCATAACTTGAGGCAACAAATCATGTTACTTGTGAGCTTTTCAGAATAACTTACTGGCCAGTCTTGTAAGCACAATGCTAGATTGTGTGGATTTTTTGAATCTGATTCAATTGGGTTCATTCTTACTCGCTTATGAACAAGGGTGGGTGACACAGATTTGGTTAAAATAAAAAATATGTTCGCAATCTGTTTCATGTGCTTTGCTCCTGATTTAAATTTTCCACAGCACCATTTAAAAAGAGAATGTGAAGACCCTCCCCCTTAACCATAAATGTCCAGAAACAATCTCTGCAAATTGAGGCAGGGGGTTTCATGTACAGGCAACCCTTGTCTTACAACTATAATGGAGCTTGCCCAAATGCCTTCAGTAAGGCATTTGATAAAGTAGACCATAACCTACTATTTGATAAGTTAGAAAAATGTGGGTTATGCAGCATTATGACCAGATGGATTCGTAACTGTCCGACTAACCACATTCAATGTGTAGTCCTCAATGGAACTTATCTACATGGAGGGAAATATGCAGTGGGGTACCACAAGGCTCTGTTTTAGGCCCAGTACTTTTCAACATCTTCATCAATGATTTGGATGAGGGGATAGATGGGGAACTCATCAGATTTGCAGATGACACCAAGCTGGCAGGAATAGCCAACACTCCAGAAGACAGGCTTAAGATACAGAAGGATTTTGACCAGTGGTGGGATTCAAATATGTGAACAACCGGTTCTCTGTGTGGATGCCGCTTCTGGAAGTCCATTCTGAGCCTGGGCAACAAAAAATTAGCTACCGGTTCTGCTGAACTGGTGCGAACTGGCTGAATCCCACCACTGATCTTGACAGACTTGAACACTGGGCTCTATCTACCAAAATAAAATTCAGTGGTGAAAAAGTAAAGTTCTATATGTAGGCAAGAAAAATCAAATGCAGAGATATAGTATAGGTCAGGGGTGTGAAACTGCCGGCCCGTGGGCCGGACACATCACGAGGAAACTGCGCCCACCCCATTGCCAGCAATAGGGAAAAAGCTCCGATACGTCGCACAATGTCACGTCACGTGACGTCATGAGTTTGACATGTCTGGTATAGGTAGTACCTGGCTCAGTAGTAGTAACTGTGAGAAGGATCTTGGAGTCCTAGTGGACAATCACTTAAATATCAGCAAGCATAGGATCAAGATCACGTGAAGTGTTAACACCACTTTACAATGCCTTGGTAAGGCCACACTTGGAATAATGCATCCAGGTTTGGTCGCCACAATGTAAAAAAGATGTTGAGACTCTAGAAAGAGTGCAGAGAAGAGTAACAAAGATGATCAGGGGACCGGAGGCTAAAACATATAAGGAATGGTTGCTGGAATTGGGTATGTCTAGTTTAATGAAAAGAAGGACTAGGGGGACATGATAGCAGTGTTCCAATGTCTCAGGGGTTGCCACAAAGAAGAGGGAGTCTATCCTCCAAAGCACCTGAAGGCAGGACAACTAATCAAGAAGAGAAGCAACCTAGAACAATTAATCAGTGGAACAACTTGCCTCCAGAAGTTGTGGATGCTCCGACACTGGAAGTTTTTAAGAAGAGATTGGATAACCATTTGTCTGAAATGGTATAGGGCAGTGGTGGCGAACCTTTGGCACGGGTGCCAGAGGCGGCACTCAGAGCCCTCTCTGTGGGCACGCGCACCATCGCCCCAATCCTAGGCCTTCAGCTGGGTTTTATAAAACCTTTTCGCTTTAGGCCTCTGCTGCCATGTACAAAAAAAAAGGTCCAATCAATCAGTCAATTTCAACTTCTCACGGGAAAAAAAAGATCTCGCAAAGTTGGAATTGATTGATTGAACTTTTTAGTCCCACCCAGTCTGCTGTTACCACCCAATGGGCCATGCCCACCCAATGGGCCATGCCCACCCAATGGGCCACACCCACCCGGCACCCGACAATGCATAAGTGGGTTTTGTGTTGCAGTTTGGGCACTCGATCTCTAAAAGGTTCGCCATCACTGGTATAGGGTTTCCTGCCTGAACAGGGGGTTGAGCTAGAAGACCTCCAAGGTCCCTCCCAACTCTGTTGTTCTATTCTATCATGGTCATAAGTCATGACTGTTGTAAAACAGGTCGGTCACTTGACCAATCTAATTTTATAAACTTTTTTTACGTCGGTTGTTACGTGAATCTGAGGTTGTTGAATGAATGCCGATTTACATCATTAAGCAAACCAATGGTTCACTATGGGAGCAGTTTTGCCAAAAACTGGAAGTGCCAATTTTTAGCAAAACTGTAATAAAATGTAATCATATGACTGCGGGATGCTACAAACGAACGTAAATGTGGTCATGTTGCCAAGCATCTGAAGTTTGGTCATATGATCATTGGAATTTTAAATCTGAGTCATAATTAGCCCCAAGGTAAAATGAATTTGTTGTAACTTTGAAAAGCTGCTAAGTAACCGGTCATAACTCAAGGACTGCCTGTATGCTAGATAGATCAAGTTTCATTTCAAATATCAACCTCCTATGAAATGGGAACTGTCTTATTATATATATTAAGGGTAAGAGCATATAGCAGTGCTGGATAAAGTGAAGTCAACCACATCCTTTTAAAAAAGAAAAGAGTTATGGAAGAATAACAAAATTTCTAACTCTCTTGTTCTCATTTCTTTTTATAGGCTTATCTCCATTCTATGAATATCATTCACAGGGACCTCAATACACACAACTGCCTTGTGCGAGAAGTAAGCTAGCACTGGTCAAATTTTTAATTCATTCATTAATTTAAGTTTTATTTATATTATTTGCTTTGCTAAGTTTTTGTTTTATTTTAAAAACATAAAAAATAATTTTAAAAGCAACGAGAAAATGTTGCATTTTGAGAAGGTAAGTTATGAAGAGTATTCTTAATTTTTAAGAACATCTTAAAAACAACAAACGAAGGAGAGGATTATTGTAGGTCTTGAATGTAACAATCTCTGATTTGTGAAAATATATAACATTTTAAGATGCAGGATCGTAGAAACCTGCCTCTGTTTTCAGATTGTACTTTGTCCCAAATCTCTGCTTTGTTTCAGATTACTGTGTGAATAGAAAGTGAGAACTTGGAACTAGTAGCCAAGTTCAGGTTTGTTTCCCTCTATTGTCTCCTACACTTTTAACAAATTAACAGGTAGATTTCTCAGGGGCAGGCAGAAGTTAATCCAAGATTGATTTGTTGTTTATTTTCCTGAAAGCTGAAAGAGGGAATTATATATAAAATTACAGTATCATAAGAGTTGGAAAAAGCCATTTTAAGCTATTGTTTTTCAACTTTGGCAACTTTAAGGTATATGGATTTCAACTCCCGGAATTCTCCAGCCAGTACCAAGGAACCAAGGTTGAGAAATCCCAATAGCCTAACCAATTTAGGCTATTCAACCCTATTGAGCCTAAATCCATGTCCACTGCTAGAATTCATATTAAAGTATTTCAGAAAGATGGCTGTCCAATCTTGCTTGAACATCTACTGCTCTTTTCATTAATTGCTTCCGCTATCAAACTCCTCTTAATATTAAAAAAAACTTTTTGTAACATTTAAATGAGAATTTGCCCCATCATCTCACTCTCTGTACTCTGGAATGATTATGAACAGCTCTTTACTTTCAGTGTGATATCCATTCAGTATCATTACATTTCCCCTGATTTGGCTTTCTCAAGGCTAAATAAAATGGTTGGATATGTATAAGATGTGCACATATTGCTAGATCATTAAAATTGTAGTGGCTATATGTGCATCACATGCTAAACATGATGAAATGTAATTGTGGTTATCTTTGTTGTTGTAGTCTGGAGGCTTAATATGTTCTATAAATTCAGCTGGTTTGGTTAGTTTATGCTTAAATTGTATTCTACAAATTTAGAAAAATGTATTATAGTAATTCAATAATCAGCTTTGGGGAGAATCCAGGTACCCATTTAGGATATTGCTTACCCTTGTTGTAGGAGATGACCAGGCTGAGTCTGAGAGAGGGGTCAAATGTGTCATAAGTCATGAGTCCCTGCATGCCCACAAGAGATCTAAGTCCAGCCCATCTTGAATGCCTTCTTATTCCCACTCATTTTCCTTGACTGTTAGTAGCTCAGATTTTTGTAGAAAGCTTAAATTTGCAATAAATCTTTATACTAATTTGAACTGCCTGAATCTCCTGATTTCCCTGGCGCTTGACACTTCATATCAGGATTCTCAAATTTTACAATACTTTCAGCCTCCCAAAAGAATAACTGTGCAACTCCTATCTCATAAGTAAAACTAAAAAATTCATTGGGATAGGCATTGGACAAAATACTTGTCATATATTTTAATAATTACATTATTATCTAACAAACAAAGAAATAGTTAAAATTTATGGGATTTTGCATGACATTCCCAGGTGTCATTTTATTTTGTTTGGCTTCAGATTCTCAGGGACTAGTGTTTCTGATAAATAATAACCTGAATTCAGTCTTTTCTGTTAACAAACAATGGATGGAGAAATGTTTAAATGTTCAATGCTGATAGAAAGAGAGTCCCCTACAAACTAGAAAGTAATGACAGAAACAGAAGCCCGTTTCAAGAAATTAATGTTTGAAAAAAGAAGTAAAAATAACTCGCTGCACTTCTTTTCACTTTGTTACATGGAAATGAGAACTGGCTATGTAAGGAGAATGTTGAAAATAGTAAAAATAGAGAACCAGTAAAACAAAAAATAAATGGGTCCTGATTGCATATGGACTGAATGCAACAGTGAATTTCATTGGGAAAGGAATTTGTTGAGGAGGGTTAGCCATATAGAGAGAATGAAGGAGGGCTGAATGGCAAAACAAAAACAGCAGAGAATGAGTGGAGGAGTCAAAAGGATCAGAAAGACAGAATCGTGGTTGGAGAGATTGATGAAGTTCTCAGAAAGTGTAAATTAGACTTCCCTCTCTTTTTCTCATCTCATTTTTGAAATTCTTTTGGCATACTATTTGCACAATTTTACTTACTCCAAAAGGGAATAGTGTGATTGGTATGTATTAAAAAAAATACATGTAAAAGTATCAGATATATCAGTGATAATACTTTATTGACTTTTATCTATACTCAGTGGACATTTTTAGTGTTACAGCTATTATCCCACAAAATCATTTTCTATTTTGAAAGGATGGAAATTTAAAATAGATTAAAAATGCTGACGTTCACCAACATGGACACTTCTTTAGCTGTTCCAAAGACTGTTCCAAAGACCTACTTCACCAGTGGAGATGCTAGAGACAAATATTTATAAAAAAACACCAAGCCAAACCCTGGAACTATTTCTGATAATAGTTTGTCACATAAACAGTAAATGTTAGTTGTCAACATTCTGCAGAAAATAAGAATTTTGTCTTTTTCAGTTGAATTAACCCTCCCATCCATGAAAAAAATAAAGCTAATTTTAAAACTATAGTAACACTTTTAATGTAATAATAATACATGAATGTAAATAATGTAATGTAATAGTAGATAAACTGAGTATGAAATAAGTTCATTTCTAAATAACATTCGATAACATAAATAATATTTAAAATAATCAGGTTCGGCTGATATTTGTTTTGCTTCAAAAACAAGCCACATCTTTTGAAGCTGACACTGAGAGCAACAGAAATGGTATTTCCTCTTTTCTTAAATACTGTCTTGTCAGCCAACAACATTAAAGCATTGTAAACTGAAAGTGTTAAATCCACTGGATAATTAAAAGAAAGGGGGAGAAAGATTATTTCTGTCCTTTACACAGAACAAAAATGTGGTGGTGGCTGATTTTGGCCTTGCTCGGCTGATGGTGGACGAGAAGAACCAGCTAGCAAACCTGAAGAAGCCTGACCGAAGGAAACGGTACACCGTGGTGGGCAATCCTTACTGGATGGCTCCTGAGATGATCAATGGTGAGTGGGGCAGGGAAGTTGGGGGTTGGGATAGACTAGAGCCTCACCAGGACTGGTTTAATTGTGGTCAGCAACTGAGGATAACAAGGACCATGTTTGGGAAGCTGTCCGGGAAGTAATCTTTGTGTAATGAGCAGAAGGAATAACCCTGAGGAACAGGAGGATTTTTTCTGAGCACATTGAAACTAAGATAAAATGGGCAGCAAAAGAAAGAGGCAATTTCACTTACAGCTACTTTGGGACAGATTATCATGAGAGCTCATGGGCCCTTAAGGAAGCCATTTTGTGAGAGGGCCAATCAGCTGCTTTACAAATTCTAAATGAACTCACCAACTCGGAGCAATAGTTCACCCCTGGCTAGGACGTCTGGGACTGATAGCTAAATAGGTTCTTTTGTCTTTTGTCCTCTTTTTGCAGGGAGAAGTTATGATGAAAAAGTGGATGTCTTCTCTTTCGGCATCATCCTTTGTGAGGTGAGTCCCAGAAACATAAAGCATTCAATGAAGAAGGAAGGGTTGCTAGATGGTGCAGTTGAGAAATCTAGAGGAACATTTCCAGAGAGCGGTTCGGGCAGACGCCTCTATCCTTGTTCTTGCATCTTTTAAAGGAAGGGTTGTTGCAGTTAACTTCATTTTGAGAAGCAAGAGCAAAAAATGGAATGGCAAGAAAAGAGGGAAAGGGGATGGTTCTGTTTCTCCTGTTTTGAATTTTAAATGCATCCGCATGCAACTCTGGTAAATTACATCAAAATTGATATCGTTCTCGGTTGAAAAAAAATAGGAGAGCCTTGGTTATGATCAAGACCTGGTGTGGTATACAGATCAGGGCTATCACACCACTGTTTCTCATCCTTAGATACTTCAAGATGTGTGGACCAATTCTCAAAATTCCCCTGGGAGTTGAAATCCACACATTTTAAAGTGATTGATTTAGACAATCACTACTAGATGGCAGCAGAGAGATGCTGAACATTTAAGAACATTTTAAAACTGCCACCTAAGGGTCATCTGGGTGTTTGGCCTGCTTTAGTAAGTGCTAAAGTATTGGACTAGGACTGGGAAAATTCAGGTACGGGTTGACTGTCCGTAGTGAAAGCTCACTTGGTAATTTTGAAGTAGTTGCTATCTTTTGGCTCAACCTCACCCTCAGCTTAACTCATACAATCATGAAAGAGAGAGAAAGAGAGATTTTCACCTGCTTGGGATTTCTCACTAAGCTATTTCCCGGCATATATAGGTAGTCCTCGACTTACGACCATAATTGAGCCCAACATTTCTCTTGCTAAGTGAAACATTTGTTAAATGAATTTGTCCCATTTTCTTGTCACAATTGTTAAGTGAATCACTGCAGTTGTTAAGTTAATAACACAGTTGTTAAGTCAATCTGGTTTCCCCATTGACTTTGCTTATAAGAAACTCACAAAAGGTGATCCACAACCCTGGAACACTACAACTGTCATAAATACGAGTCAGTTACCGAGCGTCTGAATTTTGATCACATGACCATGGGGATGTTGCAACAGTCATAAGTGTGAAAAATGATCATAAGTCACTTTTTTAGTGTTGTTGTAACTTTGAACGGTCACTAAGTGAACTGCTGTAAGTTGAAGACCATCCCTTATACCCCACCTTAGTTTCCTACATGTAATGTGAGAATGATAATACTAGCCTCATAAAGTTAGCATTATTGTAAAGAATACTCAGGCATATTTCTGCATATTTCTATCAGAGATACTGAAATGAAACATACAAATGCTGTACACAGACTTTTGAAAAGCCCTTGAGGCATCTGGCATGGGCCAGCCAGTATTCTACTTGGCTCTTCTATGTGGCTCAGTTTATCTCCAAAGGACCATCTTTGGAGACTTGTTCTAGATCGGGGTCCTCAATCCCCAGTCCGTGGACCGAGAGGTCCACAGCATGCCAGCAATCGATCCGCACAAACAAGCAAAGCCCCATCCGCGGGATCCAGGCAGCATGCAAAACCACACCTCCTCCAGTCCGCCGAAAAACCTTTCTCCACAGAATCAGTCCCTGGTGCCCAAAAGGTTGGGAGCCACTGTTCTAGATCAGGGCTTTTCGGCCAGTGGTACGGGTACCACCTGTGGTACATTGGCACCTGGCAGGTGGTACGCGACCATCCTAGAAAAGTGGTAGCGGGGGAGGGGAATGAGAGTGATGCCGGGCGGGCAGGCAGGTGTCTTGCTCGGCTGTGGTTTGGGGGGCACTTTTTTCAGTGCCATTGTAACTTCGAACAGTCACTAAGCGAACTGTTGTAAGTCGAGGACTACCTGTACTTTATCACTTTTTTCCTTTTTTTTTTGTCATCAAGTTTTTGACACCTTGCTAGGCGACTGGTGGTACTCGAATATTGCCATATCCTAAAAGTGGTACAATGGGTGAAAAGGTTGAAAAGCCCTGTTCTAGATTGTTAACCAATCCTAGACCAGTCGAGATAAACTTCTAACAACTCCTTTTTTATTTTGCACAGATCATTGGAAGAGTTAGCGCTGACCCTGACTACCTGCCTCGAGCCTTGGATTTTGGCCTCAATGTGCGAGGCTTCCTGGACCACTACTGCCCTCCCAGTTGTCCTCCCAGCTTCTTTCCTATTGCTGTTTGTTGCTGTGATTTAGATCCTGAGAAACGGTGAGCAAGAGGAAACAGATGTGTCAGATGAGAGAGTCAGAGAAGCCCCTAGATATGGGGATGAGAGGCTATGTGGCTTGGAGAAAGAGATGAGTCTTCCTCAGGGCAGATGGTAGAGCCTGGAAGGACAAGTTAAGCCAGTGCTTCTCATTCAACCTCACTGAGGTTGAGAAAGAACTAGTATAGAGAACTTGGAGGAAACTATTCTCCTTCTTATTAGATCCTGATGCATATTCAGCATTACCCCTATATTTACCATGATTCTTGTAATCTTTAAATGGAGAGTAGCCTATGCTCATATTTTTGAGGAATTATGTGCCATCAAGTTGTTTTTGACTCCTGGTGATCGTGATTCTTGTCCTCTTTCAGTATATTCAATGGAGGGAAAATACACACAAACACATACATTGGGAATTCTGGGAAGTCCATACATCTTCAACCTGCCAAGGTTGAAAAATAGTGTGGTAGAGGAGTGCCAACTTCAGGCTCTGCCTAGGGCCCTCTGATCCAGGGGTCTCCAATCCTCAGGCTGCAGACTGGCACCAGTTCTCAGCACACCAAGAACCAGGCTGCACAAGCGAGTGAAGCCCCATCCGCACACATGCGGGATCCAGGCAGCAAGCAAAACCACGTCTGCCCGGCTCTGCGGGGAAAAACACTCTCCATGGAACCAGTCTCTGGTGCCCAAAAGTTTGCGGGCACTGCTCTAGGCTGTTTGGGACTTCTAGCCTGATCGAGCAAAACTCCTCACGTTCTTCTGCTCTTTCTCTCCAGGCCTTCCTTCAGTCGGTTGGAGCAGTGGCTAGAAGCTCTCCGCATGCATCTGGCTATGCAACTTCCCCTGAGTCCACAGCTGGAGCAATTGGACCGAGTCTTCTGGGAGACACACCGGCGAGCTGAGAGTGGACTGTGTGCACATGCTGAAATGTCTGAATGAGTACAGCAGGGGCAGGCAAGCAGCCCCAAGCCTGCATGTCTCTGTATGAGCTGGGCTGAAGAAAAGCTTTCCCTGCTGAGTCCTGCCACCAGCTGCACCCAGCTCACCAGCTAGAGCTGGTTTTTGAAAAACCACTGGGAGCTGGTTCTCCCTGCTTCCTTCCTTGGGGGATGAGTTCTGTGCCTGGCTTGCACAGAGATACTGGGCAGCCCAGGTTCTTGTAAATGCTCCTTGTGAATATGTCCTTCTCCTCATGTGCATCCCGCAAAGTGGAGGGGAAGTGAGGGATCCTTGACTTTCTCCTTGTACGCTTTGTGGTTGCGAAAAGCTTTGCACGCCCCGCTGAGCACATAAGCTTCTGTCATCAGCTGGCAGTTGCTCACAAGCTGGCATTAGGATGGGGGCTGCTATCCTGTCCCCCAATACACCTCTACAGATCCTCTCTAAAACCTTTGTCCTATAAAGTGGTGCCTTGGGTTTATGTGGACTTGCATACTTGGATGCTCAAGCCCCACTTCGTTGTTCTGCGAAGCGGCCATGGGGGTCTATGCGTGTGCTTAGCATGTGCTTAGCCTTTCCTTGGAAGTTGCGAGATTGAGAGATCTGTGCAGATGTTTGGTCTGCGTGCTCCCTGGAGCCCGTGTCTGATGACATTCACACAACATGTTTTGCCCAGTCAGTTGAAGATTTAGTGGTTGTATTTGCACAACATACTGAGCTTATTGTCACTCTTAACCTTGGTTAGTATTTTATCTTTTATATAGCTTAGCATGTTATGCAAACCCAGCCTATTTGATTCATTTGAAGTTGATATATTGTGCAAATCCACACACACACAAAAAGCTCAATTTGATAACCAGGTGAAATGTGTTATGTGAATGTAGCTCTGTCAGTACCCACATGTGTGCTATGTGCATGTTTCACTGTGTGCACACCTTAGCTCCTTCCTTCCTTCCTTCCTTCCTTCCTTCCTTCCTTCCTTCCTTCCTTCCTTCCTTCCTTCCTTCCTTCTGTTCCGACCATGTTTGGCAGAAGTACATGAAGGCCAAGGCTGCTTTTTTGGGTGAAAAAGCAGGCAGTTTGCCCCAGAGAGAAGCTATAAGGTAGAGCTGTAACTGTCTCCTCTTAACCCTTCTCTGCTCCAAATTACCACCCCCTTTAAACTGCTTGCCCACTTGGGAGATCCAAATGTGTGTTAAGATTTTTGTAACAAGATATAATGTATGTGTGCACATGCATACACCCATATGCTGTTAGGCCCTCAAAAAAGCAGTCTGGATTTCTGGAAGGAGAGAAAGAGGAGGAAACATCTAAGTCATCCTTTTAAAAGGAGATCTTTGTGCATAGCTTGAAAATCCAGCCAACTCTTTTCCAGGTTCAGGATACGATGTGCACTCACCCCAGCCTTTCTCAGACTGCTGCCCTGCAGATTTATTTTCACTACAATTCCCAGTACTCCTTAGGCAACATGGCCTTCAGAACTGTACAACTCCCAGAATTCTTAGCCAGTGGTCTGGCTGCCATGTGAACAAAAGAATTCTGGGAATTGCAGTTCCAAGCCATTTGGAAAATTTTAGATTGGAGAAGGATGAGCTCATCTATGCACCAGGTCAGCAATAAGAATAAGCATTATTGGACCCTTATCAGGAAATGGGCAGCAGGTGTTTTCCACCTGGGTGATCAGCATAGTAGAAAGGAGCCTTCAGAGGAAATCCAGCTGAATTCATCTTATCCAAGGATCCTCCCAACCTAGAGACATATTTACCCTTGTGGGTAAGTCATGACTACATGACTAAATGACCTCTTGTGCCAAAAAAAACCCCTCCCCTGTGTATTAAAACTTCGTATGCCATAGGCAAGAGAACAGATCCTGCCTTTTCCTTACCTCACAAGCTTTTTGTGGACATGAAGCAGCCACTCAGATCTGTTACTTGGAAAAAGGCACATTCCTGTATCATTCAGTGCAACACGAGGAGACTGGCTTAATAGTCTTTAGAAGGAAAAAAAATGGAGCTTTTTCCTCTGAGTGCATTTGTAAGAGCCTGAACCATGAAAAACTTCCTGGGTTTTGAATACTAACAGTATCGGAGGCCATTGGGAAAAAATAGACCATTTTCTCTCCTCCTGGCATTCTAGCACCCAGGACAAACATTGGTCGTGTAACCAAAGTACAAGAGGGTCAGGCAGGAAGACTTGAAGGAGTTTAGCCATGCCAGCTAGGAAATCCCTGGGGACAACCTACCTCTAATTATTAGTGCTGGTAAGAAAAGTCAGGACTAAACAGTTTCTGGGTTTCTGGTTATCTGGTTAGCTGCTGAGGGAGACAACATGGATCTTCTTACACTTTTACCAGTGGGCTCCTGTTCTTTTCAAGGGAACACCAGCATCTTTTTTATTTTAATTGAAGGCCATGTTATAGTTATAGCTGGGTTTTTTTAGAAGGAGGGAAATACGGAGAAAGAAAACAATTCTTTCCAATCTCAAAAGACTGGTGATCCAGCTTTGTTAAATCCTATTTGCCAAACTTACATACAGACATCTTGGCTAAAAAAAAAGGGGGGGGGGTGAATTTCCTGGATGTTCTTGCTTAGAAATAGGGAAACTAACAACGGTGGTCTAAAGTTTTGCAAATTCAGAAGGTTATAGTAGGAAGCAGTTCTCCTCAATCCATGGTGCATGTGTAACTATGCAGCTTCTAAGTCCTGAAATATGTGGAATTGGAAGCAGTTGTTACAGTAGGGTGGAGTGCCTCTGGATTATTATATGAATCACATATATGGTCTAAATCTAAAATGAATTTGGAAAAACAGGTCCATGTAGCTCCATATTTCTTCTCTTCTTGCTTCCCTGTCGCAAACTGAAAGTATGTATAACTTCACTGTATGATTTTAAAAATTTGGGGAAACAGCACAAAGCTCAGATTTGTGGTGAAATTTTAAATCTTTCTGGCTTTTATCAATAGTCTGCCCTGTATCTAAGTTCATTCTTTAAAGAGACAAGATTAAATGAAAACTCCCTTTTTAAGGGTAGTATATCTCACCTCTGTGTACTAGATTTGGAGAAAAATGTTTTTTGTATTTTGATTTTGCATATCTTTGAAGCTTCTGGACTGATTCATCAACATTTTATGAACATCTGTTAGAAAAGACTAATGCTCATATTTTTGTGAAAATGCATTTCATGTTTGATGCAAAAGATGACAGACCTTGTGTATTTTATGAATGATCTTCAGAGGAAAATGTAGGCAAAATATCTCTGCTCCATTGGCACTTCTATGTACAACTACAGAAATTGTTTTTCTTGAAGAATTTTGACAGCCACTTGAAACTGTGCCCCAGAGTGTGGGTGTTGCATTTCTACTTCTGTGGGGACCATGACACTCCTGTGTCTAATGTGGTCTCTCCCAACTATGGCTTTGTGTAAGAGACACTTTTCTCATGCAGAAGACCTGGTGGTTCTACCAAGAAGCAAGTGAGGCTGGAGGTCTGCAGTAGAGGGTGAAAGAGGAATCCGTTTCCCCCAGACCCAAGAGGGAGAAGAGGATTCCTTTGTTATCTGATGGGCATGTCTAAAAGCCATTTAGAAGTTTTGACTTCTGAATTCATGCCTGCAATCTTGGTTTTAGACCATGTTTGACACTATCCTGTCATAGACAGTGAACTCACTCGTTTCCTATCCTGCTCCCCTTTTTAGGGAATCTGATTTCCATCCTCCATGTGTTTCCCATTCTGTTCCCCTAATTCTTTTAAACTCTTCAGGTGCTGCAGGTTGCAGCCAGCGTGGGAGCAGTTTTCCCGAGACAGGCAGCTTTTTCACATGACTCTGGCACACTTGGGGTTATGTATTCCCTGTCACTCCTGCAGGGAATACATAACCCCACTCAGGATCATTGCTCTATAACATAACTGGAGAAAAGAGTTTGTATAATTTGTTCACTCAGTCAACTTTGGTGATTTGGGGAGTTTATCATATTATCAGTCTGCCTCAGATGTCTTTAGGAGAAGTGTAAGGGAAGGAACATGAATTAGACAAAGACTGTGAAACATTTATACGCACTTTGACCTGAAAATAAAATGTGATGCCCTCTCTGATGACAATGATCAGAATTCACAAACCGCGATGTAAAATTAATTTACATGGAAATAATAAAAGTCTTTCCACTCCCTTGTTCTAGCCATCTATGATTTTCTTGATGACATTTTTGAGGAGGGTGTTTGAAAGTTTTTGAGATTCAGAAGGACAGCTACACAGAGCTACGCTTAGTGATTTGGATCACTCCTTCATCCTTCCATCCTTAAGAACTGAACAAATCTTAAACGTGACCCCTGTGCTGTCTTTGTCCAGGAAACCAAAGTCAAAATAATAGATGTGGGATGAAGGACTTGCCAAGGTCCCTTGTCAACTCTCGCCTCATTCCTAATATTCTAGATAACATTATCAAGCCATTTCCTGGCTTAAGTCAACAATAAGAGTATCAGTTGGTTTGCAAGGTAATAATGCAGATGAAATATTGGAATTGCCTCAAATGGCCTGGTAACTTATATATCCTTACCTCAAAGCTTTTATGCTGGGCCTCTAATTCCAGTTTGTGTTTCCCTTCAAATCTGAATTTCCAACATCCTAGAACCTATTGTATTTTGTTATATACTGCAGGATACTAAGGATGCTTTGTATAAAATATATTAATTGAAATCCAAATGTGTTCTTGTTTTTTTCAGGAAACTATAAAGAGTGCACATCCTCTTCTCAGCATTCTTAAAAAGTAGGTTACATTAGGGACCAAGCCAGAATTAAACCCAAGTCTCCCCATCCTGATTGGTTACAAGGTTATTGGTTTCCTCAAGCCTATTCATAAAGTTCTGGTTAATCTATAATCAGTGATATGAGTAGGCAAAATGCAACATGTGATTATTAGCGTATTACCACAGAATAACATAAATCAGGGGTGTCAAACTGCCAGCCCATGGGCCGGTTGCATCATGCAGAGGCCGCGCCCACCC